TGCTTTTTGTTTAACCGCTATCCAAACAACCTGCCTGGCATGGTAGGACCTCAAGAGACATAAGTCTCAGCCAGTATAGCTTGAATAGATCATTGCGGTGTTCAAGCCCGACCACCACGTCAAGGTAGCAGCTTTCGGTCGGGCAGTCTTACTTAAAGTACACTTAAGACTTCTGTCTGTATTGGCACACAAACAAATGGAACAATAGTATATAAATTTCATACAACCTGGTCTGGACTGCGTCGGTACAGTGCAGGAATTATGCAACACTGAATCAGTCCACGCAGGTCTTGTTCACATCGGAAACTAAAATGACCAAAACGGTATGACATTTGGATGGATTTAGTTTAAGACCATTTTTATGTAAGAATATTGGTTAACCTCAGATAAGAATTCATTTACATAAGAACAATCCAAAGTGGAAACTACTGGGATATTAATGGTTAGAAAATCGGCATATTTAATGAAGTTACCCTCTTCAAAGGAATGGATACAGAACAAAAAATACTCTTTTCTATAACCTGCTCTTCATCAGGCTCTACAGTTACATATACATTATGCTGAATGAATGAATTAGTGTTATGGACAACATTAATGCTGTTTAAATAACATCGAATCAATAATTTTGATAGATTACAGATCAATAGAATCAGCATAAAATAAGGCGAATGTCAGAAAAATTAGGAAAGATAATATTACAAGTTCATGAATTTATAGTCTGTACTGAAGGCCAAGGCAGTAGTAGGGCCTGGACGTGCTTCTTTTGAACACTGAGTGCTGGATGTTTGAGGCGAATTGCAATAGCCTCTACTGTTTGGAGCATGCGGTGCTTCGATGATGATTTTGGGAATTTATAAGGCACCCGGTAGATGATGATAGAGAAGGATTCTTCCATGCTAGCTGGCTTTATGGCTGGTTTGCACCATATGTGCCAATATCGAACTGTTAATGGCTTTAACTACACCTTTACATAGCCATACTGGGCGATGTTCTCGAACAAGCACGAAAAATCAAGTTCCTAGAGCAATGGCCAATATAACTCGCCCCACAAGCGTAGTTGAATTGGTAAATACAATTAGAAGTGGCTAGCTAGTCGAGGTATTTTATCTTACAGTTGAGGAATCACCATCGATCGTGTAGAGAACAAGACGTGTGGTTCACCAGCATTAAAAGTTCTTGAACTAATTTTTTAATTTCTTCGTAATTATTTCACTTGGTATATCGTCCTTGAATTGCTGTCGTATATAAACAGGCTTCTTGTTTACGGATAGTGAGTAGTCCTTTTCGCCTTCTTTGTCCTGTGTTCCTCTATAAATTTGTCTAGATAGCTATTTTCGATCAAGGTATCATTTGCAACGCTTAATTCATCTTCAGTTGCTTCTTCTGAGAATATAGATCTAACTCTGTGTGGCTGAGGGTCTTTACTAAATATTTCCTTTGTACTTGAGAGGAACAAAGCTGTGAAAATGTGTATATGCAAGGTTATGCGAGGAGAAAGAAAAAAGAACTGGATAGAGTATAGTGGCTTTAGACCGACACATGTAGCTGTAAACTATCCAGGTCGTTTGTTGCAAAGTGAGCGTAGGATGACGATGTTTTCCATTTTTAAACATCTTCGCGTTCCCAGTGGAACATGGGGATTCAAGCTAGTGAATTGAAGTTTCGGTAGCAATGATGTTTAGTTTTACAGGATGGGGTTGCTGAACCTCACGCCCAACCTTCTCTGTTAACTAGTCTTATTACTGGCTTAACGAGGTAAAGCTGTGCGTCCATAGCTGGGGATCGAACCCCGGGCCATATAAGGCGTGGTCGGTGAGCGTTCTACCGCTGTGCATACTTTGTACAAGTGCACACAAAAGCGGTGAAATCTCAGAGTCCAAACGACCTACAATAAACGGATTCGTATGGAAGAATGTACAATTGAGAATTTGACGCATCTAACAGCCTGCCTAAATACTGAACACATCTGCACCACTGGAAATGATTTTTCAGCTATCTCATTAATAGTCTCCAGTCACTGGACCTCAAAAGTAAGGCGATCTACACTTCCAAACCTGACTTTAAAAAAGTAACAGTGATTCATACAACATTCTGGTTTGAACCGCTCCCAGCTAGCTCTTTTTCAACATTGATCGGGGACAAAAGTGATGGCTTAGCACACCCACCACGTGCCCTAGTCACCTACAATCGATATATATATGTGCCAAATGAACCCTAACAATCACAGCAGACACGACATCACTATCCCACCATCACATACATATTGCTTATTCCGACTATACTCAAATATTATCACCCATCAATCAACTCAAATGAAGAACTCAGTTAGTCTGATTGTATATTTCCTCTGATTTTTACTGGTTCTTCCAAATTATGTTAGTTTGTAGACAGATATATCATTTAACGCTTTACTTAAGGAAGTTGAGACACTCTGGTATCACTCAGTCAGTCTGTGTTGTTACAGTTTGTTAATTCTTGTACTCTACCCTATTCTTCTTTATTACTTCGTTCGCTTAATCGTTCCTCAGATACGTAAGAAAGACTTCTGTACACTGTGAGGCAAGCAGGGTGTTGCTAATCCAATTCGTTTTATACTGTACTGTAGATAGACACATGGACTTGGGCAGGAAGGCTAGCGAATATTATCTTGTCAGAGACAGACACGCACACACACACACACACACACAGCATAATCTTATCTATACACAAGTCTCTCTTTGAATCTCATCAAGTAAGTAGGCCAACCTAGAACCAACTATATAGAAGAAGACTATATACTCGGACGACTAAGTAATACAAACCTCTACAATACATTTTATGTGGTGAGAAAAGTGGAAGGCAGGACACCACCGCTTAATTAGGACACACTAAGTAAACGGTCCACTTTTAATTTTTTTTTCTTTCTTCATTGTTACATTATTGTTAATATTTTCGCTTAATCTAATTTTACATTCTTATTCATATTGAACAATGTTATCAATGTGTATGCTCTGTTTTAATTACTACCGCTGCAATCAGATAATTAGATGTAATACTGTACTACTACATGTCAAGTATGAAGTTAAATCACATTGAAATGGAAGTGCTTTCTCTTGGATTGAACTTTCAGATATCACAAATAAGTTTGTCGAAAGAATCGATGTCGCAGCTCAGTTAGAAAACTTATTCTATCAGCTGAATGACCTTACTCCAGTTGATGATGACAAGAAGAGCTGGTTTAAATCCAAGCTCATCGACGTTACAAATCAATGCCTCATTTCTCTAATGTCATATTCTAAAGTCCTTTCTGAAGAGCGTCAGAGAGCATTGAGAGCTCTCAAGAATAATGGCAAAATTATTATATTACCACCTGACAAAGGCTCAGGAGTGGTAGTAATGGACAAAGAGGAGTACATCGCAAAGATGAAAGCTGTGTTAAATGACCCGTTGAGGTTTAAAGTTGACAATTGTCAGAAAGATAAGAGAGATGCAGTTGAAAAACGTATCACAAACTCACTGAGAGATCTTCTAAAGAAGAAATTGATTGACAACAATACGTACAATGATTTGAAACCCCGAGGGTCCCGCTTGCCACACATGTAAGGCCTTCCGAAGATGCACAAAAAACAAGTCCCCTTGAGAACTTTACTTTCGATGATCAACTCGGTCCAACATAAGGTTGCACGTTGGCTTGCGGAGAAGTTGGAACCTATTCGTCAACGGCTAGCCGTGCACACTATGAAAGACTCATTTCATTTCCCTGAAAGTGTGAACCAAATGAATGTTTTGAATAAGTTCATGGTGCCGTTTGATGCAACCTCCTTGTTTACAATGATTCCAATCAACGAAACTATTGAGATCATTTGTCAGCAGTCTGATCTTCTCCCACTCGCAGAGTCGGAATTCAAACGCCTACTGCTAATGTGTACCATGGATGTGCGATTCCAACTTGACAACACTCTTTACCGCCAAATAGATGGTGTAGCTATGGGCAGTCCACTTAGCCCCGTTTTAGCAGATATATTCATGTCCAACCTTCAAAGAACAAAGTTGAAGCATGCAATCGACGAAACAACTTCCTACTGTCGATATGTTGATGACACATTTGTAGTGTGCCACCATGAAAGTCATGCTTCACACTTACTCAGATTATTCAATGATGCACACACCAATATTGGGTTTACTATGGAACATGAAAGTGACGGAAAGTTCCACTTTCTCGACATTGCCGCCATGCAATGTCTAGACGACGGTAGTCTTCAGAAGTCAATTTATCGAAAGCTCAATAGGAAAGGACAATACTTACACTTTAATAGCTTTTGTCCAAATAGCTTTAAACGCGTACTAGTCAAGACTATGTACTATAGAGCGAGGAAAATATGCTCTATAGAGAAATTAGAGGAAGAATTTGAGTTTCTTAAAAAGATGGTGAAGAGCAATGGGTACCCTCACAGATTCATCAACAAGTATGGAAGATCTGAAGTCACAAATGTAAAACAAATCACAGTGGGTAAAAAGCCAATCTACATTCAGCTCAATTATAAAGGTGAAAACATTCCAGCAATGATCGATAGTAGGCTGAGCACGTCACTAGCCAGAGCCTATCCTACAGCTAAGCTCGTCCCCATCTATCGAACAACTTGCTCTTTGGCGCAATCAAAAATCGATAGATATCCTTCTCATATATATATATATATATATATATATATATATATATATATATATATATATATAATGGCATTGGCATGAATTAATGGACAATTAGCTCTCTACCTTAAACAGACTGAAAAACAACACAGTATCTGAAACATGCATGAATCAAGAATTCAATACAGTCCTACAAGAGGTCAAACGTCAGTCCGAATAGCTCAGTGGTAATATCTCTGACTGCACCACTCAGCGGGTGGGTGGCTGGTGATAGAGGTTTGACACACAGAAGAAGGGACTTACTGACGAGTGCCAACCAGCACGAAACCAATTACCTCCAACAATCTAATAATAACAAGAATCAAGTCAATGTTTATATATATATATATATATATATGCAAGAATAAAAATAACTAAGTGTGTGAACATACCATTATCATCATCATTATAAGACTGAAAAGATGAACACACACACATACAGAAATAATCGTCAGATAATGCGAAGGAAACATTTGACATACAGATAGATAAGCAGACAAACATACAGACAGACGAAGGAAGAGAAAAAGGACTGGATAAAGAATGTGATAAACAAATGTAAATTACTGTGCAAGTGAACTGACAATGTGTTGTAATAGTTTAGTATCAGTAATAATAAGGATTCATAAAATCGTGGGGGGCGGGGTGAGGAGAAGGGAAACAATACACATAGAGTTGTTAGTGATTTGTAGAAATATATAGTAGTGTTTACATTTCATAAATTCGACAACACCATCACCACCAAACTCCATCCCCCGGGTCGCTGCCGCCACCGCCAATGAACACGGGGCCAGGGTAAAATTGGGCGACAGTAGCAGGATGTGTCGACGGACGGGAGCGGAGGCGGCAGTGATCGAAGGCGCTGGGGTGGGGTGGGGCGGGAAGTAGTACTAGTAACAACACAGCATCGGATAAATTTGAACTAGGGTCGAGAGAGGGAGGGAGATAAATCACAACGTTTTCTATCAGAGTTTTGAAGAACCACAGTGATGATGATATTAATAATAGTAATAATATTGATAATTAATATGAAAAAAGTGATAACTCTTCGAAAAGAAGAAAAAGTTAGTAGAGATTGATTAAAATTAAATGTGACACAAGGGAGAAAACGCACTGTGTACAAGCAAAGAAACAAAAATAAAACTTGGTTTTTCATTTGGTTAAAAGATAAAAAGCAGAGACCCACTGAGTCAGTATCATAAATGTGTGTGTGTATGTATGTATATATGCACGTATACAGTTAGTTAGTTCGTGTTTGTGTGTATGTGTGTGTAAGAAAGCGAATCATTTCTTACCAGTTGATGGGATAAAAACAGCTTTTATATTTGCAATAGGATTGACAGCTGATCCATTATTATTCACATTACTATGACTATTATTACTATCACTAGTGTTACCTGTGGGGATGACAGCAGATGCATTACCTGCAGCAGCAGTCGAAGAACTGGAAGTGGGGGCTAAAGATGAGCTAGTATGCCGATGATGGTCTGTGCTACAAACAGCAAGTGTTCTTGTGTTGTTTCCATTACCATTAGAGATGGCAGCAGTCACGTTATTATTATTATTAATATTACCATTATTACTATTGTTGTTACTATTACTATTATTATTATTATTGACAGTATTATTATAATTACTCTCCGGCGCCACTTGACACTGTACAGCAGCTGACCGTAAAGAGCATAAACAATTATTCTGTGATGCTAGTGCAGCATTAATTCCATCGTCAAAGCCATCATCGCGTTCTTCACTCCCAGTAGCTGGTCGAGCAAAATCCCATATTAAAATTGTATCATCATGCGATGAAGAGACAATTTGGAAATCATCAAATTGTAAACGGAACACTCGTCCTGTATGCTGTTGCAGTGTATGAATACACAATTGATTCGGTTTGGAACGTGGATTCAGTGCAGCTTTTAAATTCCACACCTTGATTTTTCTTTTAATATTTGATAATTAAAGAAAGTAAAATAGAAGGATGATATGTTAACAAACGAAACATTGAAATGTAATAAACAGAACAATGTAATTCACAACAATTATGTGGAAATTTCTGTGCATCAAAATCATATCGATTCTGGCATAAAAATAAATGTACAACGGAAACTATTCATCTCCATGAAGGCTGATATATATAGTTTACTTTGGTTAAAAGACAAAATTTCAACGATTGATGATTGTTTCGCTAATTAGAGGTGTTAGCCTTCCGACAAAATCAGTCTTCATCTTAGGCTAAAACAGTTCTAAGCATGCAACTCACTCATGGTCAAGTATAAGATAACTCTGCAGGACTGATCTTCATTACGTCTTGAGTTTAAAGGGAGACAATGTTGACCAATTCACTTATTTGGAAAGTAGGAAGTTAAATCAACCCAAATGGACTAAATTCTAGTGAAATTTTAGCACGAACACAAACGCCTCGCATGGCATTTGCCAGCTTACATCACCACTACCACTAGCGTAGACATATCTCCGGCTCAAGGCTGAGAGTCGATGTGTGTAGTCCAGTCCCATTGTAACAACAGGAACAAATTGTATATCAAACATTAGAAGATTGCTGCTCCTCAGACTGTTCAAAAGACCACATTTTATCAGCATATTCACCTAGAATGGAGGACTACACATATTCTCTGGTAATAATCCAATCCCTATATCGATGAAGTTAGTTAGGGTTAAATTCATTAGTACAATTCCTACGTTGAAATAAAAAACAGAAGTGGGAACAGTGGGCATCGGTGACCAACACAGCTCTTCGTTATCACTTCATATGATAACTCTCCGTAGGCTCTAACACAACTCAGTGAATTCAAGTAAAGAGACTAAGTCAGCAGGATGTATACTTTCACGCCACTCCCTCTTCACGACTATAAACACTCTTATAGGTACCTATCGGTCGAAGCGGGGAAAATCCCTCCTTCAGGTCAAGAAATATGACAAAGGTGTTGGACTCTGGTAAGCATGCCACTAATAGAAAAGATTTGTAACTCAGGTGGATGATTTGGAATTGATAGTGTTCTCTGAGCTCCTTGGTTTAATTGCGGAGCTTTCATCGTCTTTCTGGACGACATCTTCAGACGATGAAAGCTCCGCAATTAAACCAAGGATCTCAGAGAACACTATCAATTCCAAAGCATGCCACTACCCTATGTTCCAGAATCTGTTGAAGGATGAAGAAAAAACAACTCAAGAACGGATGGACTTGAGCAAAAAAACCTCGGTTGGTGGGGTAGGTCGGGGTGAGGAGGTTCGAACACCTGACTTACACAGAGGTTGGAAGTCCAGCGCCAACACATACCAATAAACTACAACTCCACTGACACGGAAGAGCACACTAATGTAAGAGCACAGATTGTATACACATGTCAACAAAGCCAAATGATATTCTCAGTAGGTGGGTGGACTACAACAACTACTCATAAGGTAGCAATTATAATTACAATAATAATAGGGAGGAATCAGACATCTGAAAAGGAGCAAATGGAACAATTTCATGCAATGATGACAATTTTTTATTACAGCTTGATTTCACACAGTATTTTTGGTACAAGTATGAAATTTTCAGCATGTGATATCGGTAGCTCAAATTTTGCAGGCCGACCATTGTTATCAGGTGTGCGTCGGTGAGAGATATTTGTTTGCTGTGTTCATTTACAAGCTGTACCAGTTTATTATTATTATTATTATTGCTCCTTTAGTTTCCAAATGGAACAACACATAGCTTCAATAACGCATCTGAACCTTGTTCGATTCTTTCTGCAGTCCTCTTTAATGGACTCTACGACTAACCGTACTCTCCTTATCTCTTTGATGTTACCCTCAGACATATGTCTAACTTATCGTTTCCGATTCGAGTTCCATTCGAGCCGCAGACTGGCAGATGATGTCACTCGACGGTCTCCTCAGCGTGTGTCTGATATACACCCTCACTTTCCTCGCCATATTTGTTGAGTAGTAGATAGTTAGTTGGTTCGTTCCCATAATTTCGTATTGTTAATTCTTCCAGGTCGGCCAACTAACCTTCACTATGGAGCCAGAGAAGGCAGATGTCGATAAAAGTCTGAAGTAGCCTATTGGTGGTGCTTTTTGTGAAGCGCAGTGACGCCAATTCTCTGATCCATATAGAAGTGACTGACTGACTGACTTAAATTTGAATCAGCATACTTTTTAGTGCAAAAGATTTCACCAGTTCATAAACGAATATTAACCATTAATCTGGTTCAGTGATCTCAACTTAACAGTTCATACAAAGTACTATTAAGTAATACTATCATTATTCATATCATGAAGAAACTAGCCATGCTATGAACTGACTAACTAGTTACTTATTAAAATAAGTAGAACAGCTATTCAAGGCTTAAAATTGACATGGTACAGTGGATACCACTCCTACGACGAAAGCGGAAATCTTGAATGCGATCAAGCTACTGGAGGCCAGATGGGCAGGCAGCAGGGTCAAACGGAATTCCTTAGAAACACTGCATACGAGCCTAGAGACTGCGGAAAATGTGCTCACATCACTATTGCAAAAGATTTAGAAGGAATGAAAGGTACCTACCGATTAAAAGAAAGCCTAACACTACCTACCTTGTCAAACTACCAAAGAAGGGAGACACTCACGCCTCACACTGCAAGAACTGGCGTGGAATAATGCTCTTCTCCACGCCAAGTAAAATGTACTGGAAGAGCAACTCCGCCAACCAGAATAAGCTGGATTCAGGAAAGGCAAATCATGTGCTGATCGAATCGCACCTGTGCTCATTGTCATAGAATAAAGTATAGAATGGCAGTCAAACCTCTTTCTACCTAAACTTCATCGACTTCGAAAACACCTTCGACAGACAGTGCTGACCGCGAAGTAATTTGGAAACTACGTCACCAATACGGCGTTCAGTGCCTCAACTCTTCATCAACCTAAGGCAACAGCTGGCTGCATGAAAACTGGGCCACGTGTCAGCTGATCCACAACGCAAAAATCAGTGAGGCGTTTGAAGTGAATACAGCAGTAAGACAAGCTGACTGCCTATCATCACAGAAGATATTCTTAATTGTGGTGGACTGGATTATGCGCCGGACTGTGCACACGAAGTGAGAAGAAAGGAATACGCTGGACCGACAAGAAGACTCTAGAAGATCTGGATCTCACAGATGATATATATCTAATGTCACACAAACTCGAACATCTGCAGCCGAAAACAACAAATTGATAGAAGCAGTGCAAACATGGTAGGACTTCACAAGTGAAGGATGGATAGAAAGGAGGGAGCGATGAAGATAACCAACCAACAGCAACAACAAACAGCACCATTTACTACCAATGGAAGAAACTTGAGAAAGATCACTTCATTCACTTATCTGACCAGGCAGCATCCTGTCAACTACAGACTGTCAGCACTGATAAGGATGGCAAAACTAGCCAGGGTCGGAAAGACAGGCCACACTTTCAGTTTGGAAATCTTCTTCAATCTGCCGGGGGAGCATACACAATGAAATTCGAATTTTCAACACTAATGTTAAATCAGTCACTTCTTCTATACCAGGGTCAGAAACTTGGCTGGTACGTCACTGAAAATATTTCCAGGAGTCAGCTGCGAACTTCTATCAACAGCCGCCTTCACTGGGTACATACTGAAGATCAAGATGACCAGTCAACAAAGATTAACAACAAAAAACTCTGGTAGGCACGGAACCAATCAACAACCTATTATTTTATTTTACTCCTCTGCGTTCCCAGTGGAACATAGGGCCTCAAACAAGAGATTGGAAGTTTCAGTAGCAGTGGCGTTTATTTTTATGGGGTGGGGTTAGTAATCTCACGTCGGCCGGGATTCCAACCCCGGATGGTTGGTGGGCGCATCTTACCGCTGAGCCACCGACGCACAAAAGCCTACCAGCTTCGGCAACGTGAATTCGAACCACCGACCTAAGGATAACTGCACCAACCTATAGTCCTCCGTCCCACCCAAATGAGCTATCACTGGACCAGAACCCGTTGCTCAACAAATATTCCGAGGAAAATAGAGATGTATAGGACAGATGCTGAGGAGACCGTTGTATGACATCGCACGGCAGATCCTTGAGTAGGAAGCGACAAGTTGAGTGTAGCTTCGAGGTTGACACAGAGGATGTCATGTAGGGAGAAAATGAAAGGAACTTATCGGTAATTGTGGGTACTGATGCAGAGCTACAGAGATAGGGACAAAAATGAAGATGTACTGTTGAAGCCCCATGTTCCATGTGGAACCCAAGAGGAAAATAATAATAATAACGAATTATAATAACACAAAAGGAAAACTACTATAGATTGTGAAACTTTTCATCTACTGTGTACACACAAAATTATTTTCCGACTTACCCATCATATGCACCTGATACAATACGCTTAGAATCGAATCGGATACAGCGTACAAGTTCTTCATGCCCTTCAAGTACACGGAAACAAACACCAGTTTCAATATCCCAAATACGAATTGTATTATCTGAACTGCCGGAAACAACTAATCGATCCCGATATTGTAGGCATGCAATACCTCGTCGATGACCTGTTAACGTGCGTACATATGCACAGGTATCTGTAGCCCAAACCTGAAATATAAAAACGATATCAAAAAGAACAAATTGAAATCAGATATGAACAGATAGATACATCGGTTAGCGACCACTGAACAGTTGTTTTGTCCTAGATTAGTTATCAGTAGTGCTTACCTGCGATCCAACCTAGGATCGAATCTAGCACTTTCTGGTTGGCTACGAGATCAAGCCACACGGCAGAAACAAATATGTTGTGAAAATATAAAAATATCATTTGTAGACTGCAAAAATCACTACTCACTTTGATTGTACGATCACCACTAGCTGAAACAATATACTTATCGTCAAAATCAACAACATTGACAGCGGCTCTATGTCCAACAAGCACCTGGCGCAATTGAACATCTTTTGGCCATGGACCCATATCCCAAACTGCTATACTACGATCCTAGAAATTAATAATTTGAAGAAAAAATAGACAGGAACTGTTGAATAGTACTGCCAATAGAGAGGGGGGAATATACAAAATTGGTAATAAAATAATAATTATAATAATTTGTTTTATTCCAAAACAGTAATTGCCATACAGTGTGGAATTCTCCAAATCGCAGGTGATTTAATCCACATGGCATATTCCAGCTTACGCCATCTCTGGTTTAGTAGACGGGATATCCGGCTGGTTATCGATCATAGGACGTGTATACTGCTCACCGGTTTCCTCTGTCCTCCTTCATGGCTGTGAGACATGGTCACTGAAAGTGAGAGATATGGAAAGGCCTGCTAGCTTCCTTAGACCATAGGTGTCTGCGTTCTATCTCCCGTGTTAGATGGTATAAAAGAATGAGCAATATTGAGATTAGGCTTCGGTCGAGTGATAGGCAACGAGGTGAAGTCAATAGACGAGGTTGTGAGGTTACATCGATCGAGATGGTTAGGACATGTGCTACGCATGCTAGCCTAGCTATCGCCTGCCTTCCTCGACAACCTTCAGCATTAGCTGACGAAGGATGGATAAGGTTGGAGAAGAGTTAGTAAGCAGGTCACACAGTGTTATCTTAATAACTTGGTCTCCAAAGGAAATTACGGTGAAATCTCACTAATCGAACTGTGTAAATTGCAAATTGTGAATTTGGTTCAATAGATACTTGATTGGTTCAGTTCCAGAGTTCTTTCTGACCAGCCAAGGCAGCTGTTGATGAAAGTCTTCAGTGGCCTGCTGGAAATGCCTTTGGTGACAAACTGGCCAAGTTTTCGACCCATATAGAGGAATTGAATTACTTAACATTGATATTGAATTTTGTTGTGTTATGCTCCTCCAGCGGAACTATAGGCGGAACGGACGGAGATGTCGAAGCTGGTAAGAATCGAAAAGGCAAGATACGTACACCTTCAGCAACCTGAAACCAGTTTGGAAATCTTCCTCACTCAGCATAAGGGACAAGATCCGCACTTTCAACAACAATATCAAGTCGGTTAGTGCTTCTATGCAGGTGAGAAACATGCACTGCGTGTTATTCACGAAAAGGATTCCCAATAGGTAACAGCGGACTTCCATCAACAGCTGTCTTCACTGGCTCCATACTGAAAATCAAATGACCCATGGAAAGAATAAGCAACAAGAAACTATGGGAACAAAACAACAGGTGAGAGCCAATCACTCAACAAATATGCAGGAGAAAGTGGAGATGGTTTGATCGGGTATACATTGAGGAGGCGCCACCGAATGACATCACGCGCAATGCAGGCCATTTCTCGAGTGGAATCCAAATGGGAAGCGACGAGTGGGTCGTTGGTGTAAGGGTGACATGGAGGAGATTGTGTGGGGAAGACATGAGAGAGTTTGGTCAGACGTGGGATTAACCAGCTGAAAAGGACGGCAGAAAACGGAAAAAGGTGGAGATGTGTTGTTGAAGCCGTATGTTCCACTCGGAACCCAAGGGAATAGTAATAATAATGTCAGCTCATGATGAAATCCTGAAACCAATCAAATCCATACAAACCAACACTTGAATACCAATGAGATGCTCACTGGCAACTGGCCCTATTCAGGTAGGTAGTTACCTGGGATACCAGTGGGAAGTCGTGACCAGTAGGGTACAGCGGGTCGAGTGTGAGGACAAATACTCGCCGAAGACATTGGCTAGCGGTCGCGCTATGTTGTGAATTGGCAGAAGTTAGAGTTCAAGGGCCACTGGATCGGGTCCCAGTGGCTTAATGGTCTACTAGCTCGCCTTGTAACCAAAAGGTCCTGGGGTCGGACCCCATGGTGTGGGTGCGTACTGATGAAGAGTTCCACACTAGGCTGACGAAACAGCTGTCCAGTACTCTCGGGTTTTGCAACGGTTCTCTAACTGATGTCAGCTCATGGTAAAATCCTGAAAACAATCAAGTCCCTACAAACCAACACTTGGATAATAATAATAATAATAATAATAATAATAATAATAATAATAATAATGCTCCTCTGGCGGAGTGTAGAAAGTTTTCCAAGCAAACTGATTTCGCAGTGATGATGAATATGTCTCTGTCTTGAACTTCTGATTCAAGCGGCTGGTTCTGACATCCTCAATGGCGGCCAATAAGCCTTCTAGTTGGACAGGATGCTGCACAAGATTAAATAAATGAAAGAAGGAAGTAACTTCTTTCAAATTTCTTCTACTGTTAGTGTGATTGATGCCTAGGTACTACTACTACTACTAATGAGCCACAAATCTTCAAAAACCATTGACTACTACTCAACTCTTCTTGCTTTATTATACCATTGGGTTTTATTCTAGGGAGAAGAGAAACAGCATAGATTTACTAACCTATCAGTATGAAAATGAACACAAATCATTTACACAAGAACAACTAATAATAATAATAATAATAATACTCACTTTTGAACACGTTACAAGGACGTTATTTCGAAATCTTAAGTGTAACACAGCCTCTGCATGATGATTAATCACACTCAAACAACAACCAGTTGATAGATCCCATAGACGAACAGTTGTATCACTTGAACCACTGATCAATAAATTTCCAATATACTGTAAGCATAATACAGAACCAGAATGACCTTCAAGGACCTACAATAACAAAAGAACAAGGCAATAGAGAAAAAACAGATTTTTACTTTAAAGTACTCAACAGGGACAATGACAGTGGGAGAGAGAAAGAGTGAAGAAGAGAAAATCAATAAGATATAATTTGATTAATTGTAAAGTAAATAATTATATATTTATTCAATAAATAATCATAACAGTCAGCTGTTTTTGGATGAGTGGATGTAAAACACAGTAATTTGGAATAAATTCAGTTGTTTGGCGTTATCCAATCATCATTCAGAATAATTATATGCCCTCCGTTTCTTCTTTTAATCCCTATCTCTCTCTGTCCAAGATCAGTTTTATTCATATGTAAGAACTACAAGAATGTTGAATTAAAGTGACTTTCATTGGGCACTAGGCTGGTAACCAACTAGTGTCATATGTCCAGTCCTTTCATCGGTTGGTACAGTCTGAATTCTATCAATCAGTCAAGTTCGCTACGTGGACACACTGTGATAAATGACTCGCCATCACGATGCCTTGCACTGTCAACTGTTGATAATTAGATGGTTGGAGGCCGATCGTTGACAGGAAGCCTCAGCTGACCTAGGTTTTATGATTGTTGGCACTCACTAGTCAGTCAGTTAGTACGGTATATCTGCAACGGCCTACCTTGAAGGAACTCATATCCCTCCTTCTGAGATTCAAACGTACGTCACCCAGTAGTGAGTGTTGCAGTCAGAGACGTCACCGATGAGTTATTATTCGGGATCAGGATTAACCTCATATACGATTGTATTGGACACTAACTAGTATCATGTGTCTAGTATTTTTGTTAGGTGCAGAATGAATTCTATCAGTCGAGTTTGTAATTTGGCCGCTAGGCTAGGTGACTGGCATAATTCAATCTGCACCAAGAAAACGACTAGACACATTACATTAGTTACTAACTAGTTTTTAATATAATAATATAGTAGTCACATACATTTTTAACAATGTTAGCAGTCGGCTAAGTCAGAGGACAGTTAACTCTTCTGATTGGTGGTTGGTGATTGGCGCAAGTTTAAACAAGGGGATGAAACAGTAGTAGGCCGCGTGTGAGAACAAATTACTAGCTCCCAAACACATTGGCTAGCGGTCGCGCTATATCGTGAATTGGCAGAAGTTAAAAATCATCGGCTGACCATTGGATCGGATCCCAGTGCCTGAGAATGATCTACGACCTAGCTTACCACCACATAACCGGAAGGTCCTGAACTGGAACCCTGACGATGGGTGCGCGCACTGTTGAATGAATAATCCCAAACTAGTGTGACAAGCTTTTCATGTCTTCCACTTTCAATGGCCAAGTATCACTCGCAACCATAAAGGAGGACAGTGTGAAGTAGTGATGAGCAGTACACACACCCTTTGGTCAACATCTGAATATCACATCTACGCCAAAGACATAGTAAATTGGTAAGCGCTGAGATTTCGTCAGGAATCAACCGGCTGGCGTTGGCTGATGCAACTTCTCAAACAAGTGAATGGTGATCAACACGCTCCAACACTTCCCTCCGGCCTATCTTTGAGCTAGGAATCAATGTAGTCCAGTATCATCTTACATTTAACGAGGACGAATCACATGCCAAAACATTCGCAGATTGCTGCTCCTCAAGGTATTCAGAAGATTAGGAGAAGAAGCAAAGAATCAGTCGGATATATGAATGTAACGCTGTGTAGAGAAGAGAATGGCTGAGTTAAATTAACAATTGGTAGTGTAGAGTGCCACTCAATGGATCATGTGATCTAATAGCTTTTACTTAGGATTTATATATATATATATATATATATGGTTCACTCACAACTAAAAAAGAATAGTTACCATGGTGCAGTTATATTATGCTGTTTATAATCTATTATCATCAAAGTAATCACACCCATGTGTTATGTACTTTTCTCATCTCAAACAAACACATTCTTCAGTTTTAAATCACATGAAAACTTTAATAACATCTATTCTATTGTCTTTTCTATCTATTATTTGCTTTAAGAATGGATACATATATGATAAGGATGATGAACAAATATACACACCTCCAGTGAGTTTACATTTGCAGTTGATGATTGGATCATACTGGGGCGGTGGGGGGAGGAGGGGGGGGCAAATGCTTGGTCACTGTTAATATACCAGCGCCTTTAGGACGGATATATCTCGACGATGGGTTGTTACAAAACCACCCGCCAACACCACCACCCCCACACCGCATGCCCATCAGCAATGTCCACTCATCATAGGTGTGTGCCACTAACAGAATTCGCGATCCTAACTGACTTCACAAGTGAATAAGGAATTGAATTGTTATCAGGGAAAATCGTCTTATTGACTTAGAATAATGCGGATGATACAGAGTCCTTCCTCCTCTAGGTGTCAAGGCTGCTAAAATGCCGACAAGGTCTTCTGAACAACTTGAGGAGTAGTAATCTTCGAATTTTTGGCGTGCGATTCACTCCAATGGAATAGACGACGATGCTACAACGGGACTCGACAACTCATCGACTCTTCAGCTTAAAGATGTGTGTGTTGAGCACATCATATTTATTATTTGGGAAGTTGTATCAGCCAACGCAAGCCAGCGGGTTGATGGCTGATAAAAATCTCAGTACGGCATTTGTCGCAACTTACGCCATCCGATTGGCAGCTATCGATCAGAGGACATGTGTATTGCACAGCAACTATTCACTCCGTCCTCTTTTATGGCTGGAAGTGGAATATATGATAAGGCTGGTTAGTTGTCTTTGATCATAATTGGTGTCTGAGTTCTATCTCCCGTGTTTTCTTCACATGTTACTATTTCTTTTCCCTCCCATTTCTGCTTTTGAATCTCCTCTTTTTTCTCTCTTGTCTTCCTTTGTATGATGGAGGAGTGTGGGAAGTCGAACTGCTGCACTTCTGTGCATGTTGAAACCAGTCAATCAGATCAAAAATTGAATAGATCGAATAGCCAATGTGATTGTTCTTTGTTTCAAGAACATGTTTTAATGTTTATCAATGTAAGAATATAGGATACAGATGAGTACAAAATTCTAACATTGGGAAGTCGTGACCAGTAGGTTGCAGCAGGTCGGGTGTGAGGAAAAATACCCGCTGAAGACATTGGCTAGCGGTTGCCCTATATCGTGAAATGGCAGAAGTTAGAATTCATGGACCATTGAATCGGGTCCCAGTGGCTTAATAGTATACGGGCTCGCCTTGTAATCAGGTCCTGGGTTTGAACCCCGTGGTGCGGGTGCGTACTGATGAAGAGTCCCAAACCAGGACGAAACAACTGTCCAGTACTCCCAGGTGGTTTTCCAATGGTTCTTTAACCGATGCGAGCTCATGATGAAATCCTGTAACCAATTATTATTATTATTATTACATAATGTGAATGCAGAGAATCTTGTATCGCAATTTGACCACTTAAGTTATATTCTAGAATGGTGTCAGTTCAAGTTTTATGTATTAGAGGAATTCAAACGCTAATACTTAGCAAGACAAGGAGCTATAAACTCAGATAGCACATTATGATCCTTACTTTCGAAATTCTCTCATGTGAAGACCACACGTTCACAGTCGCCCTCTGCAAAGGAAGCCATATATCCACTGTCATCACATGACACCGGTGGCCCTCACAAAATTGAAAGGACGCTTACAATTAGACTGTTGGATATGCAAGGTGGTCTACCTAGGGGAGCTAGAAAACCCTTATTCCAAACCTACGGTGTGTACACGGGCTCCAAAATCCGATTGGATCAAGTGGAGTATAAACTCATTCTGGATGCTAACAACCAGAGGAACGCAAACCCACTGTTATTGTGAATCAGAATTCAAGCCAAAGGTCCGGGGAATCGGTAGTCCCCTGTCCTAACAGCCACCTGCTTCGGTTTAGCTCGTCCAGGCAGTATCCTAGAGCCCTTGCACAAACTATGAGATCTGTGGCGTGTCTCTTGCTGTCTTTAACGCACCTCGTTAGTAATCAAATTATAATAATAAATACATCTCGATAATATTTGTTCATTAACGTTATATTTTTGGTTAACAGTGACTAGCAGTGGAGTGCAGAACGTGCATTTCGCTTCTTATTTGAGACTTGTCAGCAAACTGCATATAACCCTGCGCCCACACAAAAATGATGGTGATTCCATCGAGACTCACCATTTCATATATATGAGAATGAGGACACCATCATCACTCAATGGGTCAGATACAAGTACACCGTCCAGCTAGCTGATGACGCGCTCCAAATATACGATGATGAAATGTACATCCTGGATACCACCACTGTCAGTCAACCATCATCCAACCAAATATCTCCACCACACTAGTTATATATCTCTACATATATATTTAGGACTATTCTTCTATCCTATCCAAATGGTCTTTTAGAGGATAGATGTGACTGCATGTATCTGAAGGAAGTTTCAGTCAGCTATGTGGTAGGATATGCATCAGTGGTTCAGGAGTACAATGCTCGTCAACTAACCCAGGCGGTCAGGAGTCAGATTCCCGGTAGACTTACTCCTAAGCCTCGTTAAGTTGATAGCAAGGCCAGTAAAGAGGGACAGTTGGACGTCAGGCCAGCAAACCCACCCCGTAAAAATATACGAAACACCGACTGCTACCGAGACTTCAAAGCTTCACAACTCGAAGAAGCTGTGTTCCACTGGGAACGTGAAGGAATAAACGTAAATGCGATAGGATACACAGATCAGTTTCCTGAGAGAGCTAAAACCATAACGAGTCGGTTTTGATCGTGACAATACATATATCTATAAAAGAATAACCTAAATGTATCGATCCATTTGATTATTTTTGATAATATAGTTGACCTTAATTATCAGTTGCCTTGATCTATACAGTCTATCATCCCTATGTACTTGGCTTGAACGTGATTGATAAGAGAATAAGCGCAGAGTTAAAAATTTAGTTAAGCATTTGTTGTTGTTGTTGTTGAGAGTCATTAAATTACCTGCAACAGATAAACTGTGGGGGGAGGGATAAATAAATAATAATCACT